TCTTGGGCAATAACTATTAAAGTCTAAGGTAATTGCCAAATGGCCCTATCCCTGGCTACGCCACTGGGTATGATTAAATAGACAACCCATGCTTCCGACACTTATAAAAAGGTAATGAACTACCAGTAGATATTTACAAGGAAACAACCAATATTAGATAATGGCAGCCGTGTTCGGTGTAACATATCGTCATTTTTGTATTAACAATACTTACAGATTGGAAAAACGAAACTAAAAAATCTTCCGATAATGAATATCTTACAGTGAACTCTTTTGACCGGTTGATTCATTCAAAACAATTTTGACTTTGAATGATGCTTTATCCGTTAACTGTTTATTCTATGTCCAAAGGGAGCTTGTACTGAAAGCTATCATTTATACTTCACATAATTCTAGTGAAATTCTTAATCTACTGTTTTATTTCACATTTTTATAACTCATTGATGTTGTTTTCTAGGTTCGCCATATCTTATTCAAATAAAAGATAGTAATGGAAAAAGTCTTTTTTCTGACCGAACGGATACGTTATGTGAGATACAACGTAAGAAAACTTTTTTTTTTGTGTGACAATAACTGACCATTTTATTTTTGAAAAATTTAAGTTCATACTAAATCAATATTTTATTCACAAAACTCGAGTAGTTTTTCTTCATGGTACTGTTCAAGTTCTATTAACAATGGCAATTATTAATAATGATCTTATTTATATAAATTTTATTGTACAAAACCTGGTCTTTACTTTATTAATATATTTAATGGAGATCAATCTATTCAAAATATAAAAATTATTAATCTCATTTAATATCGTTTTTTAGAATCTCCACTTTCAGCAGATGTCCATTGGTGAAAAATCGTTCAAATGATCTTGGTATATTTCATGTTCATTGCCATAGACAACAAAAATCGATTGAAATGAAGACATTTGATATGAAATATCATTTTCTAGAATAGGATAACAACTTCTGTTTTGTATTTTTACATCTATCTGCTGATAATAATTATGATATTGAACAAAGAATTTTATTTTAATTACCTGAACCTTATAAATAATCACTTCAGTTTCTGTCAGAAATTCTTCTAAATTCATAAACAATAGGGTGTGGGTGTGAGTGTGTTTGAGCTGAAGACTTACATCGACACCAACCCACACCCACAAATTATCTAGTTAAACGGCATGCAATCGCTGTATGTACCAATATTACTTAATCTACTTATTCATCAAATTTATCTTTGTAACACAAGGTATTAATCGAACCAACCAATTATGATCTTGGACATCATATTCTCTTGTACTAATGTGATTCAACAGTAAAATTCGACGATGATAATCTACCTAATGGAGTATGCGATGATTTAAACATGCAAATCTGATTTTATACGACAAATATAGCCACTGCGTGGGCAGTTGGTGGCGACGAAGTAAGATACAACACGACAGTAAAACTAGCGAGTAATATTACTATTGAATAGTTAGTGGAATTTCCTGAAGTGGCTGGATATCCCGTTGGTGGTAACTTCGAGATTAAATATTATATGGTTCAAACGCACTATGACAATACTCATCTAACTTCGAGTAGGACATCGTATTTTTAATTGAATATAATTAGATATTTATATCTAACTCAATGTGCAAATAGATCATCGTGATAGTGCAGGCTTTCGATTTTATGTTGGCAATGAGCTTCGTCAATATGATCTTGACTATCTTACCCTCGGTACAGAATTAGGGCCTGCTGCACTTGCCATTCCGTTACGAGTTGATAAATTTGTGGTCGATTCCTATTGTCTTGAAACAGTCACTAAAGTATGCTTTGAATCTCGATACACAAAGTAAGATGACGTTTCTTGTAGAGTATTCCAAATCTGGTGTTAAAATCGTATCGTCTTTTCCCCACACTCATTTGCAAGGCAACTAAACTCACATGATTGAACTAGAATGATTTTTTTCATTCGATTATATAGGTCGCAGCATATGGACAAAATTGATTCGAAATCAAACAGCCATTCAATATTTATTTAATGTAGAAGCATTTGATTTCAATTATCAATATGAAAATCGTCTATCTAAACCAGTCAAACTTTATCGAGTAAAATAAATTTTGTGTTTTTATTCGATTCATTACCTTATTGTCATAGGACGACGAGTTGCCCACTCGATGCGTGTATAATACTATGAACGAGAACGAAATCACACTAATAAAGATTGATCAATGTGTTTTTTAGATAGAGAAATTGTTTTTTTGTAGGGTGGTGAACGCACAAAAGACGAAATGTGTCTTCAAATTCTCTCCTACTATCCGCGCATGAACGACTTTCACAGATCCTTGTCTGAGAACTCTATATCGGCATGAATAGCATTTGTGAATGACCCCACGTATGTTTGATCAGATTAATTCACGTCTTCTTATTTGTTTACATTCTAACAGCATAACTACAAGCTATACCAAGGTCGTACGATAGATGCGTGAACTTAGTTGGACTTTAGAATTGGCGGTTCGATGGCAAGAATTCTATGACAAAGCTTCCCATGGTGTCATCTTTTGCAATGGTCAACAAGGACTCCAAAAATCTTCTCACTATACCCAAAATATGAAGATTTGAAGCCTGCAATATGTAGCAAGCAACAAACTCGAGTCAATACTTCCGTTTCGATCATTGTCATGTGCAATTCAGCTATTCAAAAATAAGCATTCATAATGTTTCCATTGAGTCCATTCATAATGAAGAAAATTTTTGTTGCATAAATAAAGTCAAATGATTTTGTAAGATTTTCACAAAAGAAAGAAAGATTGAATGACAGGTTCACGATTTTTCAATGACCTCTCTTCGAGTTAGATGCATGTTCTATTATTCAAGTAGCTTTGCATATTACTATAGTGTTTCGTGTTTTTGTAGTTGAACATTTATGTCATTACATTATATTGTATACATCCAAAGTATGCGGGACAAGTTTCTCGACTGAAACAACACATTTATTTAGGCAATCTCAAAAGCATTCATTGTAATGCTTTATCAACAATTACAACAGCATCAGCAGACAGTTCAGCTTCTATATTTATAGCGGCGGCAGGAGTTTTGACCTCAAATTTTGTTTATATACAGTTCTGTATTGGATCTTATTGGCTATAACAATTCTACAGAGAAGATGACAAGAAACGAAAATTGTATTAAAGTCTTGACGATTTGGGTATCAGAATCATCTGATATCCACATGCACACTCTTAGATGCCACAGTTTGAGTATTTTCGGATTTCCTATAAACGAGAAAGTGCAATTTTTTTCTGAGAGAATCCAAGACTTGTGAATCACCCTTTAGATTCACATTTTTCGAGAAAGATAAAGAAAAAATGTTATTCAAAAATATGAACCATCTAAAAGATGTAAAGATTTTATAACATATTCCGGTAAAATATTCTTTAAAAGAATTATTAAAGAAGATAAAAATGAATCTAATGTCTTAAAAATCAACCATTTAAGAACAAATCGATGAAAATGAATTAAAGTTAAGTTTTTTTGAAACTAGAAATAATACTTATTACTGATCATTTTAATTCTATTGATAAATTAACTTAAATAATGAATAATTGATATGGAACAGTATGGGTAGAAAAAGCTTTTTTTAATCTATGTTCTTTATATTTTAATGTTAAAAAAAATGAAAAGCTATAACTAATTCGTTTCCTTAATTTTCAATTTTTTTTTCTCATTTAAATTTTCAAATTGTATTTATTTTCTTGTATAATTACTGTAGATTTTAAGACTTCAAAGATCTTTCGATAAGTTGTCGTGAAAGTTGACTAAATCTACAAAACATTTTGTTCTGATAATTAATACTCATCAGTACTTGATTTGTTTAGTTTCAGCTAAAAGACAAGCGAAATTTCTATCAAAACTTTTAAAAAATAAATTTTAAAAATGAAAAGAAAAGAATCGTGTTTTTTTTTATTAATTATTCAATTGATTGGAACTATATAGTTATATTTGAACTAGAATTAAGCGAAGATACGATTTAGGGTATGAAGTGTGGGTGTAGAGTTTCCCTTCATTCACATCCACACTCTAAGGGTGTGGGTTGTGGAGTATAGGTGGGTGTTGATGTGGATGCTTGAATGCACATTCACACCTACACCGTATTTTCATATCATGACCAAAATTAATATTTTTCAATTTTGCACAATTGATATTAATGTCCGCGCTAGAATTAAAGAGAGGCGAGTGTAAGCACAATAACTTGATAATGGCAACAGCTAGCGATTTGCAGTTTTTACCAATTGAAAGAGGAGAAGTTGGAATTTTTTTTTTCTCATAATATATAAGACGAATCATCTACGAAGAATATGTAAAATAATGCATGAAAATGACCTACCAACGAAATAAAATTTTGATTTTGACCTTTGTTTTAGATAGAGAGACTTCAGATCTATAGTTCAAGATAGAACGCACTTTCTTACTTTTTATTATATTTTCATCGAAATATCAAGCTATCATGATAAAAAGTGCAAAAACTTAGTAAAAAAAATCAGCAAAATTCTCTATTATTTGCGCATGTAAATATATAATTCCATTTGCTCAATGTCAGAATGTAATAAGAGAACTATTTGCATTGCATGCTGAATTATAGATTTGAAGTCTTTCTATCTGAATCAAAGGTCAAAATCAAAATTTCATCTAGATAGAAGGTCATTTTCATGAATTATTTTGCACATTTTTTCGAAGATAATTAGTTTTAAAAAGATTTCCTCTTATGTATTGTCGAAGAAAAAGATATCTTGACATCTCCTCTTTCAATTGGTGAAATTCGCAGGTCGCTAATTGGTGAGTATGGGTATGCGTATGAGTGTAAGTGAGTGTTACTCTTCTCTGCATTACACCCACACCCCTTAGTTAAATTTATTTTTTGAACGCACCGAAAGGTAAATGAAGGGAAAAAAGAATCAGATGAAATGATGTAATCGAAGGTGAAAATCATTGTGTCCATCTCATAAGCTAGTCAATGATGATCAAAATAGTTCCATATTGAACCATGTTAACATTGTGAGAACAATTGCAATCAAATATTGAGCATAGTAGAATGAAAGTGTGAAAATGGTTGGTATTGCTCTCATAGATGCTAATAAAGAAGGAATAAAGTCAACAAAACCAGTCGATCAAACAAAGAAGAATTTAAATTACCTTTTGATGTTGAACATGATTTATTGCTAATTAAAGCAAAAAATTGTACACGGTGGCTGCCACTTTCACAAACATACATATTGCCAGCATTGTCAAAGTCCAAATCGACTGGAAGATCCAATGGATCGGTCATGTTGTCTACGCCTATTGCAAAGATCATAATCAAATATATGAATTTGAACGATTTATGTCAAGAATACCTTTTCGCTCTTTTTTTTTCTCTCAGGTTCTCAGTGAGGGTATCATCGATTAGGCTGAAACATTTACTACAGCTAGAGCATCACAAATGATGAGATCCATGTTTGAGATAAAATATTTAAATAAAGACCGTCATGAGTTTTCCAGAAATACTTCAGGAAATCTTTAATTTTTCATTGGGCCTATTTACGTCTGTCCCTTCTAAATGTGTCAAATTGAGCTCAAAATTTCATCACATATCTTTTTGATCGTTCTCGTTTTTATATTCTAGTTACGAGTTATGGGGTTATTAAAACGAAAAGTCGTTTTTTGCTATCTGAGGAATTGGTTTTTTTGAACTCTCTAACTCCTGACTAGACGTCATTTGTAATGCTCTTATTATAGTAAAAGGTTTCAGCCCAATCGAATATGTTTGTGAAAAATGTCATTGCTCAGTGTCCTATGTCAAATATGAGCCACAAACTTGTCTATTGAATAATATTTACTTGAAGAATAAAATCTGTTTCTAACATATGAATTTCATCTCTCCTTTTAATAAGACTGAACACAATGCAATTAATATGCATACCTAAACCAGCAATAGTATCGCCCTTATTTGCGTTGGCTTGCCAACGTTGGATGCGTCCGTTACGTGTATCGGCAATATACACAGCCTTTGTTTTGTCATCGAACCATATACCTTGCGGAGAATTTAACAGTGAAGCACCATTTCCGCTAGTGCCGTTGCTTGATCCAGCCACATAGGCGCCATTTGGCGCATTTGGCGAGATCATTCGAATGCGATTCTTTGTCATCTCAGCTACATACACTGAATTTGTGGTTTCATCAACATGGATATCTGTAGGGTCAATGAAAAAGTTGGAAATGATGGTAGTAGTATTCGTTTCAGGTGACCATTTAGTTACGCTATTGCCACGAAAAGCAGTCATGTATACATTTTTTGTTTTATCAACCCACACACCATTACAAAAAATACAAGTATCGCCCACTTGTACGCCGGATGACTCTCCTTGAATCCATTTTTCAACACGATAGGCGAAGAAAAGTGCAATATAGAGCATAGTCTCATTGCCATCATCATCAACATAAAGTGTGCTAGGATACGGCACAGGATATGCCACTGTAGTAGTCATGTTCGATGATTGATTGAGTGAAATCATTTGAATGCGGTGATTGAGATAGTCTGCTATATACAATGTGTTTGTTTCTTGATGAATAAAAATCCCAGTGGGCGTGTTAAGTTGATCAGAGGAATTACCACTTACACCCGTACCAGCCATTATGACACCTGTTGTGTTCCATTTTGCACAAGGACTGATCGTGACTGAAGTCAGATGTGGCAAAGAACACCACAGAAAAACTGAAGCACAGAACAAATCTTATTTATTTATTTTTATAGGTTTATTCATAAACTTACGAATGTGGATAACCAAAATTCCGGTCATCAATGACGATCACTATTATTCAAGTAACGATAAATTCACAATAGATACAATTAACTAAAATTCATACGTGAGAAAGTATATGTTAGTAAGTTGCAGTGTGCACTTCGAGATTAGATGTAGGTCAGTAGTCTTCTTTAGAAAAAGCTTTAACTGTAACAAGGCGATGGATGAAGGAAATAAAATCTCGACAACATACAGAATCTTTTCTCTTTTGCTTTCCTACTCATTCTCATCTTATCTTCTTCATTGTCACTGCAGATTAATTTCACATGACAGTTATTCATTCTAACTGCTGTAGAAACACAAAGGAATAAATGGTAGTAAAGCGGATGGAAAAATCAGTAATCTTGATGAATGCAATTGGTTTTTGACTTGAATCCTCTGATAGATGCTTGAATCTGATCTGGAAACTCTCGAGGAGGTAACTAGCTAATAAGAAATGAGTATATAGGAGAAAAACATCTATCTCATATAAAAAGAGAAAAGCGCACGCAATAAAATGATACCAAGAGAAGAACCGAGGAGAAATAGCTGGAGTCAGATTTTTTTTTAATTTTCTTGTTTTTTAGTTAATTTAATTTGAATTAACGGGTTAAGCTTGGTAATTCTTGAATACTCACACTGTTTATTATCTTTTTTTTATCACTACCTAATGTTCGTAGTAGAGTTAAAGAGGGCTACATATGAGCTCAAGAACTCGACAATGACAGCAGCTAGAGACCTTTGGTTTTCAACGATCGAAAGAGGAAAATACTGACTGTTTTTCTTTGTGATATTGTATGTATAAAATCAAATGATACTGAAAGCTGTTATTTATGCAAATCTCTCTCGAAAACAAATGGAAATGGTATGTCAACACAATGAATTTTCGATTCTGATATTCATATTAGATAGAGGAATGTCAAAGCTACACTTCTATTTTTTAATTTTAACAAGTCAACATCAACTTCTAATTTTAAAATAACTATATTTGTAGAAACATATATAATTTTTTTTCTTTTATAATAAGAAATAAAGTAAAGGTAAATATATCAATAGTAATATCATTTTATTTAGTTTTTTTGGTTTTTGCTTTAAGAAAAGAACAATAATAAAACAAGAGAGAAAATAACACCGCTAGATGATAGACCTGTAGTAAATGTGAATAGATTTGCAGATAACTTAAGATATCTATTGATCAAAACAAACCTCCCAGCAGAGAGGGAATGAAACTTCGCCGACATAATTAGAGGCAAGTTCATTTCAGAGAATCAAAGACTAATCACACATCAGCTATCATCAACAAAGAAAAATGATAATAAAACACACATGTATACAGATATATAAAATTATAATCAACAATCAATGGTAAAAATTATAGTGAATAACGAAAGTCAAGAAGAATAATGAGAAAACGAATAAATGACTCAAAAAGAAACACAAACATAAAGGACTCAATATCTCGATTGTTTTTTATGCCATTTGTTCTTCAGTTAGAAAAGTTTTTCGTCCTGTTGATTTTTGTTGTCTTTTTGCATCTATGAAAAAATTCTTTCATCCTATTAATTCGAATAAGTTTTCAAAACTAGTTCTGCTAAATATTATCATTTTTTTCTTATAATAAATAGGGTTTGATATTAGTTCGACAAGATATTTCCTCATAGATTGACATTAGTCTTTCTCTTAAAAGTGTTTTTTTTTCTTATATTAGTTATTAAATTTGCATCGTTGCTCTCGATCAAAGAGTATTCTTCTCTACTCAGTTGCACTATCTCCACTTCACATAGGATTCTTCTCGTTGTTGATAGTCATTAACTACTTTCAAAAAGTGATCTTCTTTTTGTTTTTTTACACTTCTCCTCTGACCTACTACACGCCAACACTCGCTTGACGAAGACACAATTCGATAGGCCTCGCATTACTTATACTTTTTTATCTAATTATTTTTCTCTTTGATTACTTTCTTCTTGTTTTCTTATCGTTCTTTTCTTAAAACAAAAGCCAAAAAAATAAATAAAATCATATTACTATTTGTATATCTGCCTTTATTTTGTTCTCGGTTATAAAAGAGAAAAAAATTATATGTTTTTATAAGTAGAGTCATTTTTAAATTAGAAGTTGATAATGACTTGTTAAAATGACAGAACAAGGCGATGGATGGAGGAAATGAAACAGTGAAGAAGATTTTCTCGACAACATTGTGAATCTTCTTTCTTTTCCTTTCCTACTCGTTCTCGTCTCATCTTCTTCATTGTCACTACAGATTAATTATAGATGATAGTTATTCACTCTTATTACTGTAGAAACACAAAGGAATGAATAGTAGCCAAGCGGATGAAAAAAAAACGGTAACCTTGACGATTTAAATTATTTTTGGCTTGAGTCTCCTGATAGACGGTCGGATGTAGCCTCAGCACTTTTGAGGAAGCAACTGAATAATGAGAAACGAGTAAACAGCGGAAATATATCTACGTCATATAAAAAGAAAAAAGTGAAAGCAACAAAATGATAATAAGAGAAGAGCCAAGAAAAAATACCTAGAATAAGATATTTTTGATTTCCTTAATTTTTTCCAAAATTTTTTGAATTGATCTTTTGATTGAAATCTCATATTTTTAGTTAATTTAATTTGAATTAGCAGGTTATGGTTGATAATGCCTGAATATTCACCCTATTTATTATCTCTGTTTTTTTTTATCATAACCTAATATCCATGGTATAATTAAAGATGGCTAGGTGTATAAGCTCAATAAATCGAGAGCAGCACCAGCTAGTAACCTGTTGTTTTTTTCTGCGTTAATGCAAATGTCTCTCGGAAATAGATCGAAAAGGTATGTTAATATGATCAATATTCAATTTTGACATTTGTATTAGATAGAGGAATGTTAAATCTACAGTTCTATATTTAACTTAAACACTTTACTACTCGTTCTCTTATCTTGAGCACGCTACATCCAACTTCTAATATACTATGTTAAGGAATATTATATACATAACTCAATATCGATAAATGTCATGCTACAATAACTTATTGTCACATTAAGTGCCAAGAATTATATACGGAAACATTCGTATAGAATTTTGATGAAATATTTTATGCTGAGAAGACTGGTTGTTGTAATTCTACTATAATCGTTTTGATAATTCAAACATATTTGATACATCAAAAACGAAAAAGTTAGACATTCAAGCATCACTACTGTCTTCTTCACTCTGTGGAAGGTAGTAGATCAAATCAGGTCCAACGTATTTTGCAAGAAGTCGACTAGAAGTTCAAAATTGATTCTTAACTTTTCATGTATATTCAATCGTCTTGAAGGATCCACTACCATTATAGCTTGCACAAAGTTCGACTGACATTGCATGCACGTCAGTCATTTGAAAGAGCGTATTCTTCTTGCTTACATAATCTTTGAGATTAGGTCAACAATATTTGCTGGGGTTTAAACAACAATGCCTCACTGATAGACGACTAATGTCTACATTATATTGCATCGCAACTTGACCAATC